TCTATAATTGTTCATTTATTACTTATTTTATTATGCATTTTAACAATACTATATTATTTTTATGTTAATTCTATATCATTAAAAAATATTTTATCGAACTAAAATCATGTATCACCCATTTCCTTCCAAAGAATCAATATATATAGAGAACTTTATATTTTAATATATAAATATTGAAGTACTTTTTTAAGTCTTCAAATTATAGGTAACTTATCTATTACGAATACTTTTCATATTTCTAAGTCTGTTTTTGAATTTGTTACTATTTTAATTCTTTTGATATTTTTAAAAAAATTTAAAAGACTAAAAATCTCACTTTAAATTTTTAACAAAACATCAAAGTTAACCATATTTAATCTTGAGGACTCATTCAAATGGATAATGAAGTCATAAATTCTTAATTATATATTATAACTAACATAAAAGAATAGATACTATTCAACCAAAAACAGTATAGGTATTTGACGGTACAGATTTTTATTTTTTGATAAAATTAATTGATGAATTGAGTTGAAATTATAAAACTAAATAATAAAATTTATTAATTAATCTATTGATTTAAAAATTAAATAAAAATGAAAACTTTTAAATACCGCGCATAGAACGGCTAAGTTTACTAGTAAAGCTATATTATTAAATCATGAAAAAGATAAAAGGAGCTAATTGCTTAATTAACTATCTTTGTTGATTAGTTTATTCAGAAATTTGCACCGGTCACCATTCTTTTTGCATACACCTAATCCTACATAATAGATTAAATTAAATTAAATTAAATTTGAAAAGTTGGTCCCTTTTCAATTTACATGCGCCTCCCCTACTACTAAAATATTATTTTTTTTCTTCTTCTATTTTAGGTTGGGGTGGTTGTGGGAAAGGTTTGGGGGGAGGTTATATTAACTTATCAAATTCAAGGCAACACTTTATTGTTATCATTATTTGTTGTTAAATTTTTTAGCCAAATTTTACGATTCTAATTAAGTATTATTATTATTATTATTATTTTATTGGAAATTTATATTATTTACATGTATTATTATTATTTTATTGAAAATTTACGTTATTTACATTCTTACTTTATAAGGAACATTATGTAGATTAACAAATATTTAGCATATATTAGTTTGCTATAGCTACAATTTAGGAAAATTATAATTCGCTACTATAGTTTTCTAAATTCTTGCTATTCGTTTGATTTATATAATTTGATCCCTGATTGTATAAATCCAAAACTTTGTATATGATTTATGAAAAATTTATAATAAATCATTTATATGTGTATATTTGCAAACGAATATAAAAACGGGTTAATGAAAAATTTCTAAATATATAAATACAAAATTGATATATATTTATCCTATTTGTATATTGACAAGCGAAATATACAAATATAAAGAATTATACAAACTGCACCATTCATGACAATTGGAACTATAATTATTGAGAACAATTATCAAAATTGTAGCTATAGAATCATATTATATATTTTATGTTTACTTCCTAGATCTATCTCTAATTATTTGTTCACTTTTAAATGGACACACCTATTAAGAAAAAAAATTATGATAGTGAGTTTTCCATTTTATCTCTATTAATTATGAAATATATAAATTAAAATTTTACGATTTTCAAAAAGTTCTACCTTTTTCATTGTAATTAATTAAGGATATAATACGTAAAAAAAATATCCTTTCTTGATTTATTAAAATAAACCAGTAATTAGGTACAACTAAAAAAAATAGACAAGTAACTAGAAAAAAAACATTTTAGAAATTTTCTCTATTTTATAAGGTCCATTACATCCACTTCTCTCCAAACTTACGCTAAATATTATTTGCTTGTACATATCAATTATAAAAAATAATTAAAACGTCCTCCTAAAATTGATTTGGAACCCTAATTTTTGACAATCGTATCAATATAAATTTTGATAAAATTAGATAATAATTAATTTATTGTCTTAATTCAATTTAAAGCGTTCAAATTTAAGTATTTCCACCCCCTAAGCAAGTAGAGTACTGCACGGTAGTCAAGTAAGGAGTAGTAGTCTATCTTAGCACCAAAGTAAATAAATAGACACGGCAAACGATGTTTGAAGCCACGTGATTGACTTTATTCCTGTTGTCTTTTAGTCACAAATATTTCATATATAGTATAAATAATTATAATGAGTTGTCATATTCTAATTCGTTATACGTCAAATCGTGGGCACGACGATGTTATTCCCCACCCTAAAATTAATCACTTTTAAACCCTACACTATGTACACTCTTAATTGGCTACACCAAAATTATACTAACCTTCTTTTCGTTCTCATTGTGTTACTATAAATAATATTAATAAATTATGACGTAGTTTTGATGACCTTTAAAAGGATTAAAAAACGGTGAAATACAATTTGATATTATTATAGTAGATGGGCCTACCACCAAGTAACTTTATCATTAAGCGTAGAAAAATAGACGTGTAATGTGTTTCTTTAATTAACTATTCAAATAATATAGTTTCTATTTTTTATATAATTAATTTCAACTCAATATTCTATTTTATTTTTTTTAATATAGATTTTATTTTTTCAAATAATCACTTTATATTATGCGATAGAATTTTTTTTCCAAATTCGTTACTTAATATAAATTTTATTTTATTTTAAATTTCTAAATAACATCAATGTTAAGCTAATATTATATCATATATAAAGTAATGAACAATTAAAATAAATGAAATACAATTATATTGACATTACATAAATTAATAAGCACAACCACATTTATAATTACATCAATTCTCTGAATCATAAATTAATTTCTTTATGAATATTGATAGATCTGAAAACGACCTATCGAATTATTAAATTATTGTTGCGATAAAATTATTACATTATGTATTATGCTGTTATCTTGCATTTAAATTATTATGTTGTGAATTATATTTTCAAATTAAAATTTCTATTTAAGCTTTTTAATTTGTGCATTCTTCGTACCTAAAATTATTATTAATAATAATAATATCAAATTACATTAAAGTGACGAAAACTTCAAAAGATTGAAATATTACAAATTCAGGAATGAAAGTAGCATATAATAAAAAAAAATTTAAAATGTTATACTACATTCAAAAGAATTACGAATATTAGAAATTTAATTAATAATTTTATATAAAAATAATAATATATTAATCATAAAATTATAAAAATAATAATAAAATAACTAAACCTATTAAATTGCACCGAGTTCAGAACTTAAAACTCAAAAAAAAAAATCTTCAATTTTTGGTTTTTTTAGGTGATTATGTTTAGAATTCATGTTTAAACAATAATTTATGGTACGCTCTTTTCTTTTATCCTAATTTATGTGAACAATTTTCTTTTAGGTTTTTCAAAATAGAATGTAACATTTTTTCATTTATAAATAATTTAGTTTCAGAATTTTCATTTTCGTAAAAAATAATAATTTATAACTTGCATGAAAATGTACTCTAATTAAAATTTGTTTCCGTATCCAATAAAAAAATGTTACACTACTAAAAAAAACATTATTATCCCAATGAAAAATTCAATCTATTTTCACAAATATTTTTATTGAAATAGTGTGAAAAGAAAAAAATAGTCATTATTTCATATGATAAAATTAAAAAGTTTCCATTATTTAAGTGAAAATATATTACTCACCATGCATTTTTTTCAGTAAAATAAGAAATAAGTGAAAAAGTTATTTAATAGCATAAATTTTCCATTCGTACGGCCGGGGGAATTTTTGTTTCTAGTTTTGGTACTTACACTTATGAATGGAATGTTATAAATGTTGTATAATCCCATTTATGGGTGAGTATTATTGTTTATATATGATTAACGTCTAGCTATTTGAAGATCGATTATCAAAACAAGGTAACAATGAAATATTACTTAGACAAGACTTTCTTGTAATGTTTACTTTATTTTCTGTTTTTCCTTTTTTGTTGTTAATAGTAAAGGGAAATATCATATTCTTTGGTCTCAAAATAAAGAGATGAATACATCAACGATTTCCATATCTTTACTACTTATTCCATTTTCCGGCCAATGTCCTTTTTTTTTTTTTTTTTTTTTTTTTTGGGATTCTTTAGCTTTTGGGTAAACTTTTTATGCTTCCCCAACAGCATACATTGACTCATCCTCGATCTCACTTGCTAGGGTTTTATATTTTCTTTTGAACATTTCTAATTGATTTCATTGGTATTGAAGGTGAGCTAAAAGATTCAAGATTTTTTTTTTTACAAGAAGTATTTTAATTATTTTTGATATGTTGTGTGCAGTCTGAAATGGTTCGAGGAAAGGTAGAGATGAAAAGGATTGAGAATGCAACCAGCCGGCAAGTGACTTTTTCTAAACGGAGAAATGGAGTTATAAAGAAAGCTTATGAACTATCCGTTCTTTGTGATGCTCAAGTTGCTCTTATTATTTTCTCTAACAAAGGAAGACTCTTTCAATTCTCAAGCTCCTGGTAATTTATTAACTATTTTCACTTCTATACATTCCATTGCATTTTCCCTACCGACTCACATAATTTAATACAATAAACACCGGAGGACCCAAAAAGAAATTGTTTGGTATTGAGGATGAAATACAAAAATGAGATAAATAATTACAAATTAATACCCTAAGCAAACTAATCTATCATACTGATATCCTTTGCACCGAATGATTTAAGCTGTAAAACTATATAGGTTTCCTGATCTACAATCGTAATTCCAATATTTGTTTGATGAGGCAAGGAAGCATGGGCTTTCTGTACTTTCTAATTTTGGAAGTACGAACGATTTGCTATTCAAAATTTGCTCACTGTTCTATCTCTCTCTCTTTTTTTTTTTTTTGGTTTTGTGTTCGATATCCGTATTGAAATCCAACTAAATTTAAATTTACACTCAAAAATTTCATATAGGGATAAAACCCTTTCTAACAAATCTGAGACCTGGTTATTCTTTCTCTCCTTGTTGAGTTCTTAGCCATTGCATCTTTCTTTGAAAAGTATCATTTTAAAACCTTCTTAATCCCTAGCAAAACACACTTCCAATTTCGAACTTATTTTATTTAGGAAAAGGAGATGTACCCTCCTCAAGGACCTCAACATTAGGATTTGGACAATTTTAGACTGTGGGTAATTATAACAAATGCTACAATATCACATGGGCTCTTTGTACTATTTTATGTAGTTTGCTAGATTGTCATATATTGGTTGAAGTAATCAATTGTCTCCTTTCTAGTCATCCACAACTTTTACATGAAAGCCAACTATATATACATCATGTAAATATATGTCATTTTGTTTATATATACTCAAAATATTTAGAGCCGAGAAAAATGACTTTCGTTAGGATCAAAATACATTTTTTTTTCTCATATCAAAACATGGAATAACATTTTGTTTTTCTATAACATACATCATGTAGCACATTATTTTTCCATCTATGATAAAATTGCTTTGGTGATGAGAGCTGGAAGTGTGGAGGGTCCTAGGTACCCTTTCTTGCTTGCTATAATTTGGTTGATTAAACGAATAGAACAACTAGGTACTTCTAGTATTCATTATTACTTGTACATGCCAACCCATCTTTCAAAGTTCTATCACTGTCACTATCTCATCCCTTTGAGTTGAATTATAGGTGAACTACTTCATATATTTTGTCTTCCACCCTCAGGTATTAATTTTATTTTAAGCTTCTCATTTTTCGTAAAGATATGAATAAGACTAAACACCAATACATGCACTTGACTTCCGCGGACAATGCCTTCTAACTTTCATAGTATATAAATAAACACTTAAACTTGTATAAAATTGAACAAGTGGACATACGTGTCCTATCTGACATAATATACGTAGGGCACTACATAAGGCACATAATTTCCATGTAGGGTGCTATGTAGGAATAATGTGTCTATTTGATTGTGCACAAGTAGACACTTAATTAAACTTGTATAAAATTGAACAAGTAGACACGTGTCCTACCTGATGTAAAACACGTAGAGTGCTACATAGGACACAAAATTTCTATGTAAGGTGTCATGTTGGACGAATGTGTCTATTTATTCAATTTTATACAAGTTTATAGTCATGTTTATGTATTATACTACCTTAATGAACTATGCATGAACAAAATTTGATTATTCAACATCCCCATTAAATTTGATTCATCTCTAGAAGAGTCATCTTTAGCTTCTAAAAAATATTAATCTTCAATGAGTTCATGAAAATATACCCAACTTGTATTGAGATTCCATGAACTGAGTTCTTGGATATGCAACCTCTAATATAATGAACTTAGTATATATTCATGTACTTTGCTCCTTTCATAAAATGCCGAATTCTTATTGTTTAAAATTCTTCAATCAAACTCCTTATCCCATGTTTCAACTCCTATACATATACTTCAATTCACAAATTTCCCCAAGTCACGATTGGTTGCACAAAAGGAGCCCCTCAATGATCCTTGAAGATATATGAAACTTGTTGGTAAATTGAATTATCTCACTGTGACTAGATATAACATTTCTCTTCCTGAGTATTGTGTGTTAGTTTATCTATTCTACTTATGATAGTCATTGAGATGTTGCTGTTCGCATTCTATGATATATAAAGTCATTGAGCAAATGACTACTTTTTGAGGATTGAAGCTTTAAGTAGATCTTTAGATATACCGGTGTTGATTGGCATAATCATTTGTGACAGATGTTCTACATCTGAATTTTGTGTTTTATTAAAAGGTAACTTGTGAGATACTTTGGATCAAATAGTGTTAGTAAATTTTTACGGAAAATACCTTCATCATAAACATTTAATAAATTCACCAAATTTTATACTTCACCACAAACTCTTCTAGGAGATTCTATAGCTTGAGGAGCGTCGAATGACAGTCCTTAAGGATATTTCACCTGGTATAGATGTATCCTCCAGAATTCAACAAGCTTTTTTAGTATAAAACTAGGAGCCAGAAACTAACAAAGATCCACAATACAAAAGAAAATCCAGCACATGAAACATGAACAAAGGAGAAAGGAAAATATCTTTTTATCTATTTCTTACGTGAACCAATAAGCAAATCATTTATAGGAAATGAGACCAAATGTTTGCAGGAAATTCAAGACAATAAAAAAAGGATTGAAGGGTCATAAAGGATAATAATAGGAATGTTTTAAACCTGAAATTCAACTGCCAAAATATGGCTTTCAATGGTGGAAAATATAATGGAATTATGGTTAATCAAAGCTAGGTATTCAATCACAATAAATATATATACTCAATACTCATAAACAAGATATGAAAGAATGTATCCAGACAATATTATGAATACTTTTTTTTGAGATAGTAGAATTATTTTACCAATAATCCCCTATATATTTCAAAAAGAATATGAAGAAATAAAATGAAATAAGAAGTTCAGCTGGGTTTTCATAGGAGTCTAATGCATTTAATGTGGTGTCAGTTGATTATGAATTAGACCTAGAAAAAACAAGATTAAACTTACAGAATAATTTGGTGAAATTTAGAACTTCTATAAATCAATAAGTCTTTTTGTAAGTCCAGCATCTTATTATATTACATTGTACTTTTACAAGCTTTGTTGTTATCGCGGTTTTGCGCTAAGCGGACATGCTTGTGTCCTAGTATTCATGAGTGCTATAGAAATCTTACAATTTCATAAAAGCGGCTGCACTTCAAACTCATATAGGTCCAATCATCAAGTGTATTTTGAAGAGCAATACACCACCAATAAAGGATATGACTTGGATTAAGAGCTAACTCAGCCTCACTTTGCCTTGCAGCCTGGTGACAATTTTCACACATTATAGGACGGACATAACTTTTTAGTGCTTACTTGATCAACTAATGACTTGTTATTAACCATATGAACCTAATTCGTGGGATCTCCAATCATATAGGTTTGGGTTACCATCATTGTTGATAATCTCACATGACTAGAGGTCTTACTCCCCTAGATGTTTCATTAGTGTGTGAATTGATCAGATTCACTTCCGACTACACATAATTTATTTATGTAAATTATTCATCTCATTGGAGCTACTTCTTCAAATTGTGTCTCAAACGCATGTATCAATTTAGTCACACAAAAATTGGTTTTATTCTAATTAGAATACACACTAATAGTTGTCTTTACCACCCAGTTTCATCACCAATCAACTCCACAACAACTAATTCTAATTAATTGTTTTTATATTATGACATTCACAAAAATATATCAACCTTTTTTTTTGTGACATTTGTCATCATATATTGTACCAATTTTGTACAACAAAATATTCAATTTACTTGGGGGGCGTTTGGTTACGGTATAACTTACATTTTATTCATGTATAAAATAATGTATTAAGTTATACTATGTTTGGTAGAAATTTTTATTTAGGTAGAAAAGTATACATAACCTATACCATGTTTGGTTGCATTTTTGTAGACCTACATAATTATACCAACATAACTTATGAGAGAATCTAAATCTATGTATAAAGTTATGCAGGACAGAAGATGAAATAAGTTATGTGGGTATTAGTTATACATGTGTTAAAGTGATAACTTACATATTTACCCTATTAATTTAATTTATTATTTTTAATTGGAAACTTTATTGTTTTCCTATATATAAGTTTGTTGTTTTTACTTCTTTTTTATATAAGACCATTTTTATTTCTTTTATTTTTTCAATTGAAAATTTTATTGTTTCCTATCAACATGTGTTGTTTTTATTTCTTATTATATATAGATTATTTTCATTTCTTTTTATATACTTACTGTTTCGATTAATTTATGAAAATATAAATATTTTTTTAATATTAGAAATTGATTGTATATTTTTTAACGATACATATGCCAATCAAATATTAGCATTATATATTATTCAATATATATCACATTTTATTAGCATGTATTATTATTTTGTAAAAAATATATATTAATAATTTACAACAAGTTTAATATTCAATAGTTAATAATTCACGTATTGTAATATCTAAACCCTGTATAACTAATACCCGCATAACTAAATCGCGCATAGCTAATACCTGTATAACTAAATCCTGCATAACTCTAACCAATAACCAAACAACTTTTTAGTGTTGTACTTATTGTACCTCTCATCCATTATCAGACTTTTTTCAATATAATGTATCAAGAATCAATATCATTTAAAATAACATTAACACAAAAGATATTATAACTTTTAAAAACAAGACTACCATTTTTACTTTTCCAATTCTATTGTTGTATTAAGTCACACCACAACTAACTATCACAAGTCCGCATATACAACATTTTTTTAAGCATACAATCAGAACTTAAATCCTATTTTTCTTAGGATCATATAGTACAAACAAAACACCCCTACACTTTTCATTGTTTCAATGGAGGTATAACTTTTTCAATGTTCATAAAATTTCAAATTAATATGTAACATATACATCTATATATACACTAAAACATATATCAAAAGTTGC